GCCGCCTCCTCCCGCCGGGACCGTGTCCCTCTCGCCTCAGCAGGCAGGTCCGGCCCCTGCTCCCATTTTAACCCCTTAACCCCCCCGGTTCTGCCACCGAGCCCGTCCCCCGCTCGCCGTGATGTCCCCTGTGCTCCCTCCCCAGCAGGGTGAAGATGAAGTAACGCCCCGATCATGGACCATGACGCTCCCACCATCAGGCCCCGCCGCATCCAGAACCAGAACGTCATCCACCGCCTGGAGCGCCGGCGGATCAGCTCGGGCAAGGCCGGCACCCACTGGCACCAAGTGCGCGTCTTCCACCAGAACGTCTTCCCCAACTTCACCGTGGTCAACGTGGAGAAGCCCCCATGCTTCTTGCGGAAGTTCTCCCCCGACGGTCGCTACTTCATTGCCTTCTCCTCGGATCAGACCTCCCTGGAGATCTACGAGTATCAGGGCTGCCAGGCGGCCGAGGACCTTCTGCAGGGCTACGAGGGGGAGATCCTGGCCAACGGCAATGACCAAAGATCTGTCAACATCCGGGGGCGGCTCTTTGAGCGCTTCTTCGTCCTGCTCCACATCACCAACGTGGCCTCCAACGGGGAGCACCTGAACCGCGAGTGCAGCCTCTTCACGGACGACTGCCGCTACGTGATCGTGGGCTCCGCCGCGTACCTGCCCGAGGAGCCTCACCCGCCCTTCTTCGAGGTGTACCGCAACAGCGAGTCCGTGACCCCCAACCCCCGCTCCCCCTTGGAAGACTATTCCCTGCACATCATAGACCTCCACACGGGCCGCCTCTGCGACACGAGGACTTTCAAGTGTGACAAAGTCATCCTGTCTCACAACCAGGGCCTGTACCTCTATAAGAACATCTTGGCCATTCTCTCTGTGCAGCAACAGACGATTCACGTCTTTCAGGTGACGCCTGAGGGCACCTTCATCGACGTGCGGACGATCGGGCGCTTCTGCTACGAGGATGATCTCCTGACACTGTCTGCGGTGTATCCCGAGGTGCAGCGGGACACTCAGACAGGGATGGCCAACCCCTACAAAGAGCCCTTCATAAACTCCCTGAAGCACAGGCTGCTGGTGTACCTGTGGAGGAGGGCAGAGCAGGATGGAAGTGCCATAGCAAAAAGAAGGTTTTTCCAGTACTTTGATCAGCTGAGGCAGCTCCGCATGTGGAAGATGCAGCTTTTGGATGAGAACCACCTGTTTATCAAATATACTAGTGAGGATGTAGTCACGCTGCGGGTGACAGATCCTTCACAGGTATTATCTGCCTCTCTAGACTGTTCGTTGCTTTGGGGCAGTTACTCTCAAGAAGCTAAAATTCTGTGAGCTTTGTTTCTTGGCTGAGCCTGTCAATGTTCAGTGCATAGGTTGTTCAGGACTTCATTCTTGTATGAGCATTTGGTGCCTGTGGTATTGAGTAACTGAAGTATCTTTCTTATCTCATAATTTCATCAACTTCTCAAAAAAGTAGTAAGGAGGAAAGATCTTATGTGGTTATCAAGCCCTCTTTCTCCAGGGATTGTTCCCTGTGCTTTAGAACCCTCTTACCCTTCCCAAATACTAGCTGATATTTATTTTTTTAGCTGCTATTTCATATAATACACTTGCATTGCAGAGGTACTCTCACTCTTTTCACATGCATTTTAGAGCATGTTTTTCAAATATAATAGTCTTCATTTTTCCCCAGTAAAATTGCCTTTTCTGCCTACATACTTATGCTTTCAAGCTTCTGCCAGAGATAGTATTTATGATCTCTTGAAATTAGAGTAGCTCCACTTAAATCTAGCTAATGTGCCAGTTGCTTCTCCTTTAAGTTTAGTACTAAAGAAATCAAATTAGAGCATATGTAGCTTAGTCAGTGCTGGGTCCTTCCAGATGTTTCACCACCCTGCAGGTCAGTCCCCTCTTTTCACTACTGCTAGAGACTTGGTCTTTTTTTGGTCCCTGTGAGACTGAGCAAGGTCACATTCTTCTCTTTTCCCCATTTTTATTCATTTTCAATTGCTGGACTTAGATCCTAGAAGAAGTGGGCAGCATTTTTTAGACCTGATTTTCAGCATTAGTCTAATTCTTCCTGGACAATAACTTTGTGCTTTTTTTTTTCTTCACTTTTCTTTCTTTGTTTCACACTTCTTGAAAGAGGGATAACTGTGGGAGAGGGTAGGTGAGGTGTAATCTAATCAGTTTTACCTGTCGATATAAAATTAAGTGGCTGCCACAAAGGCGTCAGAGCTTTGTGTGAGTGTCCTGCAGTTTTCTGCTTGCTCACAGTATCCTGATGTTCCTGACAAGGGCCTTGAGCCACCTCCGTGTAAACCTACGTGGTGCCCTGGGTTCAGCTCTCTGCTGTGGTTACCAAGGCTTTTGTGCCTCCTTTGCTGCAATGTGCTCTTGACTTGCTTCATGTGAAGGTTGCTTTCACATGCAGATTGTGGTTGGTTTGTGGCATTCCTCAGGTGCTGCATTTTCTGCTGGAGGAAAAGTATCTCTGTGCCCGTTTCTTTCAGGAGCTTCCAGATGCAGAGCTGCCCTGAACACCTGTCTGAGTTCAGGCTTGGTGATTTGTTAGGGCTTCCAGAGGAAAAACTTCATGTTTCCTAGTTTTCTTTCTTTCATCTGAACACAAGAGAGCCTGAAGCCGCATCCTTTCTCAGGCCCTTCTCTTTCGTTAGACCTTTTAGTGAAGAGTCTTGAAGTATTTTTTAATGCTTTTGGGTTGGTTCTGCATTGTCAGGGTCTGCTCCGAGTCTTTCCAATTTTTCACTTGTGTGTATATATAGCTTTAACTTGCTTCTTGTTCTAGACTTGTGTTTTACTCTGTTCCTACCCTTCCTTTTCCTTGGACAGTAGTTTAATGAGTGACCTCATCTAGAGCTCTTCAGCTTGGCATGTGGGGGTTGGATTATATTATTACATTTGTTTTGGGTCTGTAAAACAAATAAATCTTGTAAAATTTATGAGGGCTGCAATGAAAAGGTGTTTGGAGCTTGGACTGAACCACCCTGAAGGCCACGTCCCATGTGCAGGCTGCATCTGGGGCAGCTGAGGAGGTGGGGGGCAAAATTTGGGTCCGTTGTAAAAGTGGTCTCAATGCCATGTGAGAAGGAAGACTCGCAGGAGATAAGGATCTGCAGAGAGTTTAAGGACAGGACTTGTAGTTGGTTTTTACTAGCCTTCTTGGGGTGTCAATAGCAGTGTATTAAGAGACTGTATAGTTTAAAAATGTATTTGGTTCTTTGTTTTTTTTTTTAGTGTGAAATACAAATATTGTCTCAAAGACCGGAGAGCCTCAGGATGGGTCAGAGTGGGTAGGGTCAGGGGGAGCCTGAGGTCACTGCTGAGAGTTGTTTGGGAGCAAGAGGTGAAACATTCATTAGAGACCGCCTGTATTGACAGGAGGCTCAGCCAGACACACACAGATGTGTGGAGCCATGTGCTTGTGCCAAGGGAGTTAGTTACCATGTTAGCTTTGAGGCAGGGACATTCTTACTTTGGGATGACAGAAGTTAGCACTCCCCTCTTTAAAGAGAGCGGCACAGTGAGCAAAGATGAAATCTTCCCCTTTCCAAAGGGATGGGAATGTCCTCTGCCTTCCATGTGCCTGGCTACGAGGTTGCATTTTCCCCTGTTGCTTGTTGTTGATACCATGACACCCTGCTCATCTGCAGTGTGGTGCATGGGCCTTCCTGCATCAAAGTGCTGGTATTAAAAAGAGGTAGTTAACATTTTCCACATTTTCATTTCTATGCCAGCAGGATACCCGGAGGGCACAACTTCTTGCAGGCAGTGTTACAGCTCACAGTATGCTAGAAGCCTCATCTGTGTGTCATGGAAATATTAGGAAAAGGAAGAAAATAATGTCTTTACGTAGAGGAAAGATAATTTGTTGTCAGCTAGGACTGGGTTTAGAATCATTTCATTAGCAGGCAAGAACATTAAATTTGGTATTTCAGATAGCATTTTAGATTTGGTGGAGGGCAGAAACATTTTCGTTTGAGACGAAAATTGGATGCCATTAAGTATCTCCCGTAATTAGGCACATCACAGTTAATAGTTGATTAATTTGGTAACTTTAGGGGTATTTGAATTAGCGTGAGGGATGCGGGGTTCTTCTGTGCTAGTGAGATTGGGCTTGTGGTGTTGTACAGGAAGAAGGGAAGAGGACGTGTTCCCTGTGCGTGCTCTCCTGGGTAACCATTTCTTCTGCTCACAGCCTTCCTTCTTCGTCGTGTACAACATGGTGACCACGGAGGTTATTGCCGTGTTTGAGAACACGTCTGACGAGCTGCTGGAGCTGTTTGAGAACTTCTGTGACCTCTTCAGGAACGCCACCCTGCACAGCGAGGCCGTGCAGTTCCCCTGCTCGGCTTCCAGCAACAACTTTGCCAGGCAGATCCAGCGCCGGTGAGCATTCGTAGCAGGCTTTGTACTGCACTCATACAAACTCATCCTGGTCAGCTGAAGGCCTGTATCAAATAACAATAGCAGCCCTGGGGAAACCCGGGAGAAGGAATTTTAAGGGAAATGTTGCTGGCTCTCTTTAGGTTATGATTCCCTTGGAGGTTATTAAAGCAGTACTGCCCAATAGTGAGAGCTGTGCAGATAAGATTGTCAAGATGCCAGCATCACCTGCTAAATCTATTTAGCCAAGTGGCGTTCTCCGGAGTTAGTGTGCATCATGTTGTGCTCTGTAGCGTTTTCTGCAACATCAGTAAAAGGCTTGTGATTCTTGTTAAACTCTGCTGTGAGTTTAACAGGAACTTACCTACCCAAAGCCATTGTGAAAGCTGAGCAAAATATCAAAGTAACTAGGGTTTCTAGATTATGTTTTAACAGTCAGATGTGACTTTCCTAAGGCAGAGTGTGTTATCTCCCTTGGAATGTATTTTTATGTGACTCAAGGTGTCTTGTTCTCCAGTGACTGTTTGACTTCCTTCTAGCAGTCATCTATGGGGATGAAACTTCTGTTTATTCCAGCTTGCTGTAACACAGTAAGAGGAAGTTGACTCTGTAACTTTCTAGAGCTCCCTATTGTGAAATCCCTATTGCTTAGTGGGGAGGGAGAGAGCTTGCTCACTGCAGACACCTGAAGAGCAAGTCCAAACTTGTGTTAAAATAGAGAAGAATCTTTTCACCCCTTTGGCTATGAGGATCTGACAGGACTGTGTATCTGTCG